GAATAAATTTTAAAGTAAAAAATAATTCAGAATTTGAAAATTCATAACATTTTGTTTCTCAGGATTAGAATGACTTCAAGGAAAGAAAACAAAAAAGACACCAGCATGTGTTGGAACTGTTCTCCCATGATGACTGACTGGTAGTTCTTTTACTTTTCTTTCCCCCTTTAGTGTTTATTATACCTGGGCAAGTGGGCAAGAGATATCCGGAATGCCTCTCCTTGGTTGACATGTGCTTCTAAGACTGTTCCCAAAATTACTGAGCCCAACGAGAAGAAAGACTCATTGGCAGGGCAAACTCTCCAAGAAACAAGAGGCAGGGGAGCCTTGCATTGTGTGAAGGAACTTTTAAGAAACACCGAGAAAATGCTACAGTATATTACAGTTGGAAATCTAGGCACTGTGATGACAAATCTGTAAGCTCTGGCATTTGGACCATTTTGATACTAGAGGGTAGTGTTGAGAAGAACATCTATATTTATCTACTTTTACATAATGAGAAGGACTGAAAAATCTTGCAACGTAACACTTAAATGGCTTTTGAGGCATTTCGACGGCTGTCACCCCTTGTCTCTCCATGCTATGGTTGGCATTTAAAGGCTTTGGAAATATATATGTATAGACTTCAGAGAGTTGCCAGGTAAATCTCCCTAGTGTGTGTGTGGGTGGTGGTGGCGGGGGTGCGGGGGGAGGAAGAAGAAAATATTCTCCAAAAGCTCATTATCTGAATATTGTGGGGTATAAAGTTGCAGGAATGGGATTTTCTACTTAAGCCCTAAAATCAAATCCTTTATGATCTGCATGTAGTGCATTACCTTATACTATGATCTGTCACCACTTGCATCTCATAGTATAGGCCCAACAATGTGCAGAACACAAATTCTGACTGCCATCTAATATGACTTGCCAAGGACAGCAGCCAGGTTAACAATCCAATCCATTGTCAACCCTTAGTCACCTTCTCTGGGCTGTCAGTGGCTTAAAGTCCCAGTTCCACCAAATCACAAACCAGTTCTGTCATCCTCTCCCATCCATCTGTTGTAGATAGAACTGAGTTATTAGAGGACGCCAAACTTTGGGGATCAGAGACTGAAAAGCAAATGGTCTCTCAGCCACTTAGTAAAGTGGACCAGAAGCATTCGGGGTAGGGTTTTTAAACTACATTTTGTCCTTTTCTTACCCTTGCTCAGACACCCTGTATTCTACTTGGGTTTATACCAGCTTGCTGAAGATGAGTACTCCAGGAAAAATAAAACAAAAACAAGAGATTTCACTTGTTGAGAAATATTATATAACAATGCATGGATTCCTATACATTCCAAATGACTTCATCTAATGGAAAGGAGGAATACGCTGGTTCTATCAATGAGTTAAGTTTAAGGAAAGCAAAAAAAAAACAAGAACAATGTGATAGTTAAGGAGGAACTGGGTATGCAGAGAGGGCAAGTGACAGACTAACTTCCACCTCCAAGTAGCTAGTTAGCATGTCTCAACTTTGGTCCTCTGTAGTTTACTGATCATTTTTAGAGTTCTAAGTGTGGAGAGTTTGCATTGAAGAACATGAAAATCATACACCCTAACCGATGTGTAAGTTGCAATGCTGCTATATTGATTTGGAATTTGTAATGTATCCTAAGGGTATTTGGAATTTCTCACCTATTCCAGGTTCATGCCAATTATGCTTCGGTTCCTTTTAAGAAGCTTGGGGAGTGTCAATGCATTCTCCTGGACAGGAAGATTTTGCCTGCTCACTGACTTGCTCACTGACAGTATGACAAGGGAAGGAAGACAGGTGAAAGAAAGAATGAAGAATATGAGTATCAGAATCGAACAGGAAGGGAAACTGCTTTATGGCTTAATTGCAGTGAAAATGATTGCTGTTTCATAGCTATGGAGGGGCGAGCAGGGCTAATCCAAGCCTTCCTCTCAGGTTATTTTGGAACCACTCAAACACGGTTTGGGAATGATAGACTGAAAATGATTGGTTTGATTTTGTTGTTCAACTTGTGTGAAATGCCAAAGGTCAACCTAGATCACAAACTGAGAAATCCAGGATGTAAGTTTTTAAAGTATAGGAGATGCAGTCCTTTAAACGTATATATTGCTAGGATTAAGTGCGACTGACTGAGTAGCCAGCAAATGATGGAAAGTCTACGGGGACAACACAGAATAGGAAGACGCTGGGTAATTTCAACCACCCATTGGTGCCAGGACAGAGCAGGGATGCTAGCAAGCATATTAACTTGGGATTTAAACTATTTTGTCCCATAGATACCTTATCCCTTTTTCTCTTATGTTCCCGAACAAAAATCCATCTCTTTACAAGGAAATAATGTTGTGTTCTGAAGTGATAATACAATTTCCAGCCAGTCCCAACTTCCTGTAAAGAAACTTAATTTGGAGATAAACCAGATATTCTAATTCCCATTAGAAATTTTAATTCTCTCAGTGTTTTTCTTTTTATAATCGACCATGGCAGCTGTTTGATGTCTTGTGGGAGGTAAGGGGAGGAGTGAGGGAAGAAATTGAAAATGCTTATTTCAAATTTCCACATCTGACTTTTAGAAAACATCTACGGCAAAGGAATAACTTCATATTCATTCTGAATCTTGATAACATTTTTTTTTTAACTTGGGCTGTGAAAATGGATAGTAGCGATGGAATATCTGTCCACGCTAAACCAAGGGCTGGAGTACAACTTGGATGAGAAATGTACAGTTGAAATTGACCATTTAAAAGACGATTTGTCACACACAGTTTGCATCCATGCAGACTGATAGATTTATAATTACATTATGTACAAAAATGTTTTAGTTTATTAAGGCAACCACAATTTGGATTCTTTGTCCAAGGTGGCTTGATACAACTGGAGTGGAGATACCCTTTGAACATTTTCATATATTTTTTTTTTCAGATAAGAACACTTACTCCCATTTGCTTTTAAGAAATAATTATCAAGTGATAATGGACTTCTATTGTCTTTTTGTTTCCTTTCATCAGCTATCATTATTTGTGTTTAAAAATCACATACCAAGGTATTGCTAAACACTTGTCTTTCTGGTGGGTCTGGAGTTCAGTTTTTGGTGATCCGTCACTTACTACATTTGCTGTGGGATAGGAAAGCCTACTTTGCCTAGTCTCTGACAATATGTTTCAAGTTTAAAGATAACCTGGTTGATACCGGGTCAAAATATCCTTGACTGGTCTGATTACTTAGTAAGAAGGCCCTATCCACTTTGAGTATCTGTTACACAATGATGGGGACTCAAAGCCAGGTTCCTTGGGACAGCATGTCTAAGGTGACTTTTACAACACAGGCAAGGGCAGGGTTACATGATTTAGGTGTGTACCAAGAAAACGAAGGCAGGAGTTCAGTTAATGAAAAGGGATGTGGTGGTACAATGTGCAGAGGAAAATGGGCGATGCTGAATATTAGTGTGTGTATCATAGGAGAAGCACACAAAAGAATGTGGATGTACATCTACAGATTTCTCTCACTGGAATTTCACCTCCTGATGATACGATTCCATCTAAGAACAAAAATGTTTTGGTCACTGTAGATGACATTGGTGCCCCAAAGCCTAGCAAAGCTTTAAAACCAAATAAAATAAAAACCAATGAAAGGGTATTACAGCAAAGTCAGTTGTGAAATTTGTACCTCTTCTCCCCTTGGAATGTTTCCTACTGGAGGGTGTCTCCCTTTGGATTTTCCTGGCCAGCAAATGAAATGGGATCAAGTGCGCACCTTGGATGTTGCCTCTCAGGAGGCGATGGAGAGTACCACGGGCTCTCTCCTCCATGGGTCTTCTATTGCCCTTAAAGGATCTATCAAGACTGAAGTGCTGCTTGGCTGGGAACTGCTGTAAAGCACAGACAAGCTTCTTTTGAAGGGGTCCCCCTCCTTTGCTTTCCCAATAGCTCCTGATGGCTCAACCTCCTCATCTGGACCGATTCTGCCTGCCCAGCTTTGGGAGAGGCGGGCACTCTGCCCCCACCCTGACTGCACTTCCAATGTGTCAGTCTCCCCAGCCCCAGGTTCTGACGCCCAGACCCGCCCTAGGGAAGGACATCACTCTCGCTCCCTCGGGATTTCCTCGGCCTTTTGGCCTTCACCTCCTCTTCTTGGGGAAGGGGCTGTGATGGGGGCAGCTGTTGTGGGGTCTGCACAGGAGGCTGAGC